TTCAAATAAGTTATATTGTATAAATGTTTTGAATATTGTGAAAGATTTTTAATGTTGGGTCTAGTAGTTCAGTAATCCTAAAAATATTCTTAAGAGTTTCAAATCTTTTAATTTGTCAGACATTTCTAAGATCTTTTTTGATATATGTGAATGAAGTTTTATATTTCTTTTTTTTATCTCAGATCCTAGGAATTCAATGTGTTGGTAACACAACATAATTTTCTTTTTTCAAATGGTAAAACCATGTGCTTCGAACAAAGTGAATGTAGTATATAAATGTGAAAGATGTTTATTTCTCGCGTGAGAGAATATTAGAATATTATCAATTTATATGCAAGTGAAATCGGAGATTTTTCAAAAGACATCATTCATATTCTTTGAAAAACTTAGGGTGCATTTTTCAATCCAAACAGTATACCTAATCATTCATAGCGTCATTCAGGGCAGGTGAACATAGTGCATTCAATAAAATCAGAGTGCATCTTAATTTTTCATATCCAGATTTCATATCAAACCTATTAAACCATCGACTGTTTTCGATTTTGTTGAGTAACTGGTTCTTCGAGTTATTCGGGCAGTATTGCTGCACTGACCTAATATTAGGATAGTATGAAGGATTGTAAGCTGAATTTTTTTCATCCTGCCCAACGTAATTCTTTTCAATACTAGAAACTAAATCGTCTAGATGCTTGGATCAACTTCTAACGATAACAGATCTATTTGGCCAACCTTGATTATGTTTATGTTTCCCTTATCATCAACATACAAGGCATCATTGAGAGCAATCTGTTCTTTTTTTGGTATTGATATTATATTTAATTATTTATGCCAATTTCTTTTTGAGAAAAGGCATAAAGGCAGCACTTTTGCCCCTAATTGAGGTGAAGGGTATGATAACAAGTGATTATGGAGGCTTCATCTCCTGCACAGGGCAAATGAGTTTTTACAATGATTGTAGAAATCTTAGGTGAATCATTGTACCAATCATATGCATGCATATATATATATATATATATTTATTTATTGTCAGGAGTATAACCAAAGTATCATCCATTAAATTAAGTTTTCAAGTTGGAGTGTGCCCCCAACCTTCTTCCTTCGAGAAGTGTAAAACTACCATCCTTCGTCTGAAGACTGACTCATGTGATCCTCGGTTTGATTAGATATTAGAACTGCAGTAGAAGGAAAAACAGTCGTTGACACAACGATATGTTCCAGTGTATGTGTAGTTTGAATTGTCACCTCTGCACCTGATTTTTCCTGAATAGGAGCTGTGGGATTATCCTGACTTTCGGTCCGAATTTTATCCCTTATAGTATGGTCAGGAGAAGGGTTCCCAGGGGCAGACACCATTTCCTGTCTTGTGGTGATTCCCTCCTTAGGTTAGCTATCATCAGGTTTGTTGGGAGCGCATTCAGGCACGTGGGGTGCACTAACGACATGTTCGTGCTTTTGACTATTTGTTCTCAACTGTGGGTGCAATTTGAAATATTTCTCTTGCGGGTATCCAAACATCTTACAGTGCTTGCAGTAGTAGAGTTTTTGTTACATAATAATTTTTTGCCAATAACCATCATTAGCAGAGCCAAGCCAAACTTCTTCAACATCTGGTAGTGTAATATTCATTTCAATCAAAATCCTTGCAATAGAGAGCTTTGAGAAATGAACTGTCGGTGTGTTTACTTGCAAAAGTTTTTCAAGGATAATTCTAATTGCATATAAGATAGGTAGATCAACGAATTGAATCTTGAGTTCAGGTAATGAGAACCATATAAGCGCAATTGGGGGTGCTTGACTGGGATCAAAATCAGAGGTCCATTTGAGCAATTTCATATGATTGCCCTCGATTGTGATGAAGTTCTTTGAGAAAATCCTTGTGTAATCTTCTTCTAGCTCAACTGTATCATAACATGTCTTCCGTCAAAAAACCCCACTTGCCAAACCCCAACTAGTTTGGAATCTTCAAAAACCTTCCTGATAATTTTCATTTTAGGGCGACCTAATTGGAACTTTTCAACTAGTAAAAAATTGTATTTTACTGCACGAGTTGAAATTCAACGTCAGAGAAGAATAGTGCTTGTTTGCCCGCCTTTTTCTCTACTTTTTTTATGAGGTTGCAATATCCATGTCCTGCAACAGAATCATGGTAAAATCTGCGGGAACATCGGACTATCTGCAATGTGGAAAGGGGAGCTGCATTTGTGAACCACTGTAACATCGGAGAGTTTGGCGGGATTATCACCGGCGAGGCTGGCGGCGTAGGAAAGCCTTGAGGTCCTTAGCATGCTTCACAGAAGCACAGTAGGAGCATGGCGCAGCTTGCCGACTGCCACCGATGAAATGAGACGCGAGACAAAGCAGACGTGAAATTTTGTCGTCCGTCTTTGAGCACGACGAATGACACGAGACCTTTGCGACCAGACGAGATCGCTGCGACAGACGAGAAAGAGGAAATCGTTGGACGAAACGCTGCGACCAGAAGAAGTTGACGACGAAAGTGTAACAGATGCTATGGTTTGCCATGAGACGAAACCCTAGCATAGCAGGAACGATGACCATTGATTTCTCTCTCTCTCTCTCTCTATATATATATATATTATATATATGAAATATATTTGTGTAGGAGGGTTAAATAATCTTTATCATTTTGGAAGGACAATATTCTATCCATATATATGTATGTATGCCTGAATGTTTAGCAAGGGATTCGTCCTTCAATGCAAGGGTCATTAGGAGCAGCTATTTCTTGCTAAGCCAATGTAGGATCATGCCTTCCCACACCATACATACATACACACATACTTGTTCAATTAGTTAATTAATTAAAAGGGATGGAGGCACTTGAATGTTTAGCAATGGATCCTACCTTCAATGTAATGGTGAATTAAATGATTTCTCACTGAGCCAATATAGGATCAAGCCATCCCACAACATGTTGTGCATCTAAGAAGGATGTCATTACCCCATGTGTTGGGAATATTAATTATTTTTTGCTTTGACTGCTTTTTCAACAAATCTTAGACTTAAGGATGGATGTCTACCAATGGCTTTTTTCCAGGCATACTTGGCTGTGGAAGTATCCTTTTCAGGACTAGGACAAACATCCATTAAATTAAAATATGGCATAGGTTAGCAATAAATGACGATTGATATTTTCATAATAAAAATTAATAAAAATTTACCTTGAGATACGAAGCTTTACATGCATAATAGTCAAGGCAACTTGAGTTTGTGAAAAGATTGTGTCAATGAAACCTTTTGGTGCTTGAAAATAGCCTTTCACCCAATCCAAAAAATTGAGTGAAATTGAATGATAAATATGGTTTATTCCATTTTTATATTTGAAATTTAAAGGATTTTGAAACAAACTTACCAGTTCCTTACAATCTCTTAAAATTGTGGCCTTGCGAGACTAGTGGACTCCACAACCGCCCCAAAATTGTGATATCAATTATCCAAGATTTAAACCCCTAACATTAGATTATCTATGCTACCTTGAGTGGTACGTTCAATGTGTTTGAAATTTCAGAGACGCAGATCTAGATCTTTGCATCAAAACCTCTACTATAGTCGAGGCCTTGTAATATTGAATGAACGACATATATGGCTTATTTCATATTTATGCTTGAAATTTAAAGGCTTTTGAAACAAACATGCAATTTTCTTGCAAAATCTTAAAATTGTCATCTTGCATTACCAGTGGACTCCACAAAAACCCCAAAATTGTCATACGTCTTATCCAAGAGTTAGACCCCTAACATTAGATTATCTATGTGATCTTGAGTGGCATGTCCAATGTGTTTGAAATTTTAGAGACAGATCTAGACCTTTGCATCATAACCTCTAGAATAGTCAAGGCAAGGTAATATGCACTTATGAAATCTACCACGTGCAATTTATTTGCTTTTCTAGTAGTACAGAAGGATTTTTCGTACCAACTCCTTCTACCTAAAGGATTTAGTAGCCTTGAGTAAATACTGCAAGATTAAACTCCGATTTATGGTTTCTCATATTGTATTTTTTTAATAATGGTTCACATTGGTCTTGTTATTGATTCGTGCACAAGTTATTTTTATCTGCAAGTCTTTATTATTAACCTTCTTATTTTCATTCTTTTGCAAAATTTGTTGGTATATATAATTAATTAAGATACAGATGAGTAGGTTGCCTTCATTGAAACAGAAGATGTGTTGATATTAAACCCTCAAATTATTCTACAGTTTATTGACTTGATTCTTGTATCCATGTTTTCAACCCTCCTATCATTCTATAGTTTATTGTCTTTATTCTTGCATCCATGGTTTCAATGTGGCTTATTTAACCAAGGGGGTGTTTGGTAGTGCATTTTAGTAGGATTTATCACTGGATTTACTAAATCCAGCAAAACACTAAAATGCGGGAGTTCCGTGGATTTTTGAATTTTTGGATTTTGGGTCCCAAATTTTGTCTTTGAGTCGGCTAAATCCAAGAGTACTAAATCTAGTGGTATGGTAGATTTAACGGATTTACAGTTTACTGATTTACTAAATTCTACTAATGCTAAATTCTACTTGCTGCCAAACACCTCCTAAGAATTCAAATTAGCTTTTGAGCGGAGTTCCACCTGCTGGTGGTCAATTTGTACACTATATTTTTTTAATCCGGTTTATTTAATGTATTCTGGACATTCCAATTTGTTCATGAGGTTTCTAGTTTATTGAAATATGAAAAACCAACGAGCATTTTTTATCTCAAGGCTGCTTGTTGCCTAACTATTCAAATGTATTGGGCTATGGCATTAATGAATGCCATTTTTGCTCTTCTAGTTTCATTGTATTGCATTTTTATTTATTGTCAAAGTTTTTTTGTCCTGATCTAATAATCTGATTTTTTAAATGTTGTGCTAAATAAGTTGTATTGTCTGCCAGATAAGCTTGAATGTTGTGCACTAGTTTCAACAGGTCTGCACATTTCAGTTAAGGATCCAGCTTGTAATTTTTTTGCACATTATTTATTTTCAGATCACTGAATTACTGATCAACATCACAAAGCATGCTTTGATGCCAAAGCATGAAATATTAAATGAGGAAGAAAAGCAAAAGCTTTTGAAGAAATATAATGTTCAGGACAACCAGGTACTTTGACACTCGTAATGCTATACATTTTTGAAAATAAATTGCAATACAGTTTCCTGATTTCCTTTATTACCTTGACATATTCAACTATTGGCTATTGGCAACATTGTTTTTGATACTTCATGGCTTGTTTTCCACCCACCTATCTTATGTTTTCAAGCAACTTTGAGCATTTCTCATTTCCTTGCTATTTAAAGGAATTTAGGGTATCAAATTCTGGGTAATGTTGTTTGCTAGATCTTTATAAAAGCTTGTCTTCGGTTAAAAGCAACTTGACTACCAAAATTTATTTATTATTTACGGAGGCATTTCATAGTTGCAGTTAAAACCTCTTTTGTATTTCTTGAGATGTGGCAGCTTTTTAAAACCATTGGTATATGTACGAACCATGTGACTCCCTCAGAAAAGCCCCAGCCTCACACAGTTTTCCTTCTCTCCCTTGCCGCAATGATCAGTTCCTCTCTCCTGCTTGCGAATTCTCTGTCTAGGCTTCATTGTGACTTGATCTGGTCTTTCATTGCCTACCATTTCGTTGCCTACCATCTATCTTCTCTTGCTGACATTGCCGTTGCTCAACTTTTTGATGCTGCCAGTTTAGATTAAATTTTCATCCTATTTTCAAAGACAACATTAAAAAAAAATCCATTAAAAATCAGAATAAAAAATATCCACAAATATGATATCATATAAAAAATATATTCTATCTGCTTCTCATGATATAGTTGTTTCATTTAATTTTAGTTATAGTTTCATTTTGGTTTATAAATTTGTAATTTGTTTAATTTATGTCAGTTGCTCATCAAAGATGTATTGGGTTAAAATTTTCTATTTTTTATTGATTTCTTTCTTTTTTTAAACTCGAAGGATCATTATTTTAACTTTTAATATCTAATGTCTACATAGTTAACTTGGATATTTGTACACTCACATACTCATATATATTTATATTATTCAGATAATGCATGCTTCTCCATTCCTTTTTTATGAGTTTACTTTTTCCGATAGTTTTCTTTGTTGATTTAGATTGTATTAGTTTTGATATTTTTTTAAACATGCCTTCTACTTAATTGGAAGACTTTAATCATGCCATTATTTTTAGAATTATGGACACAGATTAATAAATTTTAGTGCACTTGAAAATGATTGCAATATTAGGTTTTTCGTTTTCAAACATTGGGCTATTATGGATTTCTAATGATGTATATTCTTTAATTTTTTTTTTTAAATTATTGTGAAACATTTATAGCACTTGTTATTCCTATGATTGATCTCATGATGCTTTCTCTGTGTTTGCCAAAAGTATTGACTATGACCAACCAAAGCTTGGTGTTAACTTTTATGGTGATCTCCTTATCAGCATATATAGATATAATATTATATACCTGCTTTTTACAATTATAAGTTATTGAATGCTATAATAAATTAATTAAAGAGCATGCTACTAATTGTATAATACTTTTATATGTTTAGATATGTTTTAATTTAAGTAACAAGAAAATTAGCATGCTCTTTGTTCTGAACATGATCGTTCCGCTTGTTTTTTGAAGTTATAAATATCGAAGTAGATAATGTTATCGTATAAGGATATGCTAATGATTTTCCGCTTGTTCTGAACATGATTGTGCTACTTCATTTATGAAGTTTTAACTCAAGTGAAATGATGAGGAAAAATTTGTATAAGGATATGCTGATGATTTTCCCACTGATATTTTCATCATTTTCAGTTCAGATAATAACATGTTAAGACAATTAGTCAAATAAGAGGCGCATGCATCAACATAATTGAATTTTGTAAAGGAAAATCGAAATGATTCTCCCATAAAGGTTATCATCAGGCTTTAGGAAAGGTATTTAATTGCGTCAATTTTTGATAAATTTCTAGTATAAATTTTTTTCATCTCTAAGATTTATATTGGACTAAAATGCTCTTTAATCAGTGGCATTTGGGATAGATAATAGTTCAAAGAATGTAACTTAAGTGATCTATATTATCATTAATAATTATTTTGGACTATTATGTCGTTAAGATGATGAATGGTTTGGTTAAGTCTAGGACTCCCACTGATGCTAATGATGATCATAAATGTGCTGGCCTCTTAGGTTAGTTTTAATTGATATGTACTAGTGTGTGCTAAATTAAGGTTAGGTAGTCACTGATATGTCATGTCGTGGAAAATAGCAAGTTATTGCAAGATGCTGACTTTGTCATCTATTCATTTCATTTTTGTGCTTTGTCATTTTATGCTTGGATGTTTTTTGGAGTTTCACCATAGATTCATTAGTTTCTCTTTTTGATGCTATAGTTCTGTAACTCTAATTTATGCAAATCAACTTGATTCTATTAACTTTTGCTCTCCAGGTTGGATTACATAAACCATTTCAAATTTTTACATGTTTATCTTCAGTTTAATATTTCAGTATACATAATTCCTGGGCTAAAATTAGTATATGTGCATACTATCTTCTTCTAATTGTTTATGAGTTTTTTTATAATTTCACTAGAGACTAATTGTTCATATTATCATTTTTTGACGGTTAGGAAGGTAGGAATGTTCTAAGATCTACCTCTTGAGGTGTATTGTACAACTGAATTGTAGCAAATGCCTGAATAGGAGATCATGATCCATTATAGCATTTACTTTGTCACATTAATATGATTTACATTGGTGCCCATTTAGGACTTGTTTTAAGATGAATGCAAGTTACTGCAAATTGTAGGCAGCACTTGTTAGATGTCTGATGTGGCGTTGGACTGGGTATGCTATTATTGTGTTTGTACATTTACCAGTGGTTAAAACTGTTGTAAAAGTTAGTGATGCAATAAACGTTCCCAGTAGTTTCAAAACCGTTGTCACAGGGCGTTGCATTGGTATGCAACCATAACGGTCTTGTAGCGATTTTAAAATTGATGATAGCCTTTTTGTGGCAGTTTCACCATCGTAAAAATCTTGGAAAAAGCTTTGTAGACGCCCAATTTATCTTTGGTGCATATTTATATTCTTCAAAGAATTGTGATTACTTTCAGTTAGAAGTTATTAGCACTGATTTATTTCCTTTCCAGTTATTTCCTATTTTATGTTGGAAATTATTATACTTGGTTTATTTTTTTTTTGGTTATTTCCTATTTTATGTATTCTTGTTTTATGTATTCTCTTTTATCTTTGGGTAGTTAATAGGAATTGATTGATTATAATCTTGGAGATATGAGTGTTATGTCTTTCTTATTTTAGAATTCATGTAGCCTATATTTATACTATTTTCATATCAATAAAAGTATTCGGCTTAATTCTCAAAACCTACACGGTACCCGTGCCTTGAAAAAAGCTTTAGAGTTTTTGGTGGAGGAGATCTCTTGCCTCCAAAAACTTCTTATTCACTACAACCGAAAATTTTTCCCTGCAGACCTTAGTCGCCAGAACTCCTTCATGCAGAAGCTAGTCGCCAGAACTCTCTGTGGAGGGCCATAGCAGCCTAAACTCCTTCACCTACAGTTTCTGACCGTCAGAACTCCTTTCCCTGCAACCCCTAACCGTCGGCACTTCTTGCTGTAGAAACTAGTCGTTGGAACTCCTTCCTATAGGAACTAGCCGCAGAAACTCATTCACTTTCATTTCACTAGCCACGGAGACTCTCTCCTTTTTGGCCCTAGCCGCCAAAACTCCTCTCCCTGCAAGCCCTAGCTGCAAGAATTTCTCTCCCTGCAGGTCCTAGCTGCTGAGTGTCAATTACCTAATGCAGCCTTCCACTTTTCGCATTCGGAGTGTCTATTAATAATAAGATTATAAAAAATAATTTCTTAGTGGTTTGAACATGTACAAAATAACATAGAAGATAGTCCAATAAGATAGTCCTATAATATTTAGTGTTGAAATCTTGGAATAGGAAAAAAGCACACCAATGTTCCATTCTTGATATTATGAAAAGATTTATGCAAAGTAGTGTTAGCACCACATTGAATACTTCAGAATGCATGCAAAATGAGGATTTATAAAGCTGAGTCCAAATTGTTTGGCTATAATTGATTATGTTAATTACATTTTGATTACCGAGAGTTCAAAATGTGAGAAGAATTTTATTATGCCTAAAGGAAATTTATTTTTTATTAACTATTATTGTGGGGTATAAATAGAGTTTATTGTTCTTAGGGTTAGGTTTTGCTAGGAGATTGTTATCCTAAGTCTTAGGGTTAGGGTTTATGAGTGATCGCCTACCTCTCGATATGTAGGTGTTGAGAGAGATCGCCTACCTCTCGAATGGTGGGTGCTCATCTTTATGTATTCTAGTTGTGTTGTTTGTGTTATTGAAGAAAAATAATTTGCTTTATCCTAATTTTTACGAAGTTCCATATCAAATTTGTATCAGAGCGTTTGATTATGAGAAGCCAACACCAGGATCATGGCATACGGGTTGACGGATCGAGATGGAGGCCTACAACGTCCTTCATGACCGAAACTCGCAATACAATCACGATTCGTAGTAGCTGGCAACAAAAATGGGATCACAACGTACGTGACTGAACCCCACAATACAACCGCGATTCATGCTAATAAGGAGGCTATGTCGGAATCGAAGCGTATAGGGGCTTTATAACCAATGCTCACGATATAGTCACGATTCACAAATATTGGGAAGATTGACTGGATCGTGACATATAGAGCCTTCGTCTTCATCTTTCTGTCATTGCTGAATCGCGGATTCTAGAGTGCAATTTCGGATTGCGATGTCTCAGTAGTCAGGATCGCGATTGAGTACTAGAAGATTGGGGCTCTGTGATTATGAGAAGCTAACAGGGTAACGATATACGAAAATAGTCATGATTCGACCTAGGAGAAGCAAAGAAGAGATCACAATGTATAGGGAAGACCGAAGGATCACAAATTGCGATACAGTCACAGCTTTTACGGGATTGCAGGTACAATGCACGCATCCTTGACTTAACTTGACAATTTGAGCTAGTTGGTAAACCATCTACATTATTGCAAGGTAAAGGAGTTCCGCCT